GGGGGGGGGGGGGGGGGGGGGGGGGGGGGGGAACCCTTATAAAATATGAGCTTCTTTGACAGTAAGCTTGAAGTCTTCAAACCCTTCGTGTATACAAGTTGAAGTATTCGAATCCTCTAAGTATACAAGTTGAAGTATTAGAATCCTATAAGTGTGCAAGTAAGACTTCAAAAGTATGTAAGTAGAAGTCTCCAAATCGTCCAAATGTGCACATCGTTGAATTTTCATGCCTTAAGGTGGATGAGGTTTGTCCCTTTGCACCTTAAGCTAGCCTTTTCGCGGATTTATCCTTAAATGGATCTTTAAATTTCCATGTCTTAAGGTGGACAAATTTGTCCCTTTGCACCTTAAGCTAGCCTCTTCACGATTTTATCCTTAGATGGATTTTTTTTTTGCCGTACACAGTTTATACTCTTGCGGGCCAGGAGTAACAACAAAAATTGTCATGCCTTAAGGTGGACAAGATTTGTCCCTTTGCACCTTAAGCTGGTCTTTTTTCGGGTTTATCCTTAAAAGGATCTTTAAATTTCCATGCCTTAAGGTGGACAAATTTTTCCCTTTGTACCTTAAGTTGTTTATCCTTAAATGGATCATTAAATTTCTATGCCTCAAGGTGGACGAGATTTATCCTTTTGCACCTTAAGTTGGCCTCTTCACGAATTTATTCGTACATGGATTTTTTTTATGCCGTACACAGTTTATACTCTTGCGGGCCAGGAGTAACAACAAAAATTGTCATGCCTTAAGGTGGACAAGATTTGTCCCTTTGCACCTTAAGCTGGCCTTTTCGCGGATTTATCCTTAAAAAGATCTTATAAAGCCTCAAGTAAGTGATCTTCAAGGAGGGGACGTTAAACACATCCCTTCACACCTTATGCTCAAGTATTCGGAATTTAGTAAAGCCTCAAGTAAAGTGATCTTTAAGGCGGGGACGTTAAACACAACCCTTCACACCTTATGCTTATTCAGGACCTTGTAAAGCCTTGAGAGTAATTATTTTTTTCAAGGCGGAGACGTTAAACACAATATTCTAGTAAAGCCTCAAGTTAGTGATCTTCAAGGCGGGACGTTAAACACATCCATTTACACCTTATGCTTAAGTATTCAGGACCTTGTAAAGCCTTGAGAGTAATTATTTTTTTCAAGGCGGAGACGTTAAACACAATATTCTAGTAAAGCCTCAAGTTAGTGATCTTCAAGGCGGTGACGTTAAACACATCCCTTCACACCTTATGCTTAAGTATTCGGGACCTTGTAAAGCCTTGAGAGTAGTATTTTTTTTTCAAGGCGAGGACGTTAAACACGGTATTCTAGTAAAGCCTCAAGTTAGTGATCTTCAAGGTGGGGACGTTAAACACATCCCTTCACACCAGAAGATCAAATTCATGTGTGAAATAGCTCTCCATTGTGCAGCCTCCACGTTGCTCCTATTGACCTATAAACAAACCCACATAATAAAATAAAATAAAATACAAAGAAAGAAGGGGGAATTACCTCACAGTTGACGCTTGCGAATCAGTTCCAAGCAACAATTCACAAATTGGTATTAAAAGTATGAGGGTCATGATCCTATTTATAGGCGAGTAATGTCGGTCGTTCACTCCTAATTGATGACGGTTCAAGTGTCACAATTCAAATAGGATAGGAATATGTTACTTTTGAAGACAAATAAGGAAAAGTGCATGATGGGGACCCACAAATTTGAAAAATATAAAATTTTCCTACGTATTGAAAGTTTTGGCAGTATGTGTGTACAAACTTATAATACTTAGGAGTCTTCCAAACGATTACACGGTCAAATATAAATAAATTGTAAATTGTATGGACAATTTATTTATTTATTATATATAGTTTGATTCAAAATTGACTTAATACTTCAAGTCTAGTCTTCATGAAAATATTTTTTTGACAAGACTTGAAGCAGGGGCATTTGTAATCATTTAAAATTTATTAAATATAAATTTATAAAATGATTCGAATTATATTAAATTCATGAATATATTAGCCCAAATAAATATTATGGATTAATATAATTGGGCAAATTATTCATGAATTTAATATAATTCGAATCATTTTATAAATTTATATTTAATAAATTTTAAATGATTACAAATGTCCCCTGCTTCAAGTCTTGTCGCAGTGTAGACTCGATGAAACTCAAAGACGAGGCTTGAAGTACTCATTCTTCCACCTTTGCAGCTTCAGATTTTCAGATTTGATTTAAGAGAGAAGAGATGAAGGGCAGATTTGGTCTCACTGGGCGTGCCAATTTGTTTGCAACAAATTTTAAAGTGACAAAATAAATTACAATCACAAATAAAATATGAAGAAACATAATTTTATTCATCAAGATTGTGGGTACAATTCAGTTTCTCCCTTGATTCTACTCTCCTAAGATTTAACCATGATTCGAGGGCCGTTTGTGGCGTATTTCTCGAACTAGGATGATTTAGTTTTGACCTCTATATGAATATTCCATCAATTTGTAGAATATTCGAGATGCCTGTTAAGGGAATTTAGTACCCTTTATATAGGCATGAACTAGGGTTTAGAGTTGAGTAGCTTCCAAGAATTCTAATTGAAACTGAACACCTTCTAGAGTCCCAATTCGAATTGAACACGTCTTGTAGAGTCCCACAAAATTTCAATGTCTACAGTGAGATTCTGAGATGGGTCAATATGACTGGTAGGTTGGATGATAATATTATATATTGGTGAAATAATAAGTTAGTTGATGGAATCCATGTCTCGTTATAGAGATTGATTGATATGCCTATTTGAGAAACTTATAAGTTTTCATCGTGTCAAACCTTGCAAGTGGATTTATGAATCCGACAGATGAAATACGTTAAGTAGTGCTCTAAAGAAAATTAATCATTAAATTGATTTCGTCAGTAATTTAATTTATTGATTAGTATCTATAATCTTAACATGGGGAATTACATAAATGTTTAATGGGGAATTACGAAATATAAATAGAGGAGTGCAATTACGAATTTCTAGTGGAATGATTTGTAATTTATTAT